AATCCATTTATGATTTCTGAATGAAAAATCCCCTGCACCGGTTTGATCAATCCTTGTATTATTTCTGAAAAACCTCCCCATGCGCATGATAAATCCGATCCAAGGGTTTGATAAATCTGGTTCATGCGTTGAACTATCGCACGTGACAATACCATCACCCTATCTTTATAACGTATTGATAGAGTCTGTACATGTTTTCTGCATGTGTGTGTGTATGTATGTATGTATGTATGTATGTATGTATGTATGTATGTATGTATGTATGTATGTATGTATGTTAGTTATGTATGTATGTATGTATGTATGTATGTATGTATGTATGTATGTATATACCTATCTACCGATCTACCGATCTACCTATCTACCTACTTAATTACCTATCTATCTGCCTACCTATCTAAAGCAAGAAACAAAAAAAGAAAAGAAAGCTTGGTAAAGGAAATTTATGGCACCGGCATAGAACCCTTACACGGAACCCTTGTTAAAGGAACCCCGTATAGCATACTTGAAGGAAGCACGCAGCATCGCATCCGAGGATCAAGCACTACAGGCTGTACGGGCCAAAGATCCTGCGCGGGGCTGAGGCCGCTTACCTCCGTGGGAGGGTTTAGGGCTCCATGGGGTTATAATAGTTCTGGGTTCGGGGTTTTAGGGTTTATAGTGATTTTTGAAGGGTCTCTGGGATTGCATCACAGCGAGCGTTAGCCGCACGGTTCTCAGACCAGGACCTTTTTTTGGTAAACCCCGAAGACCTTGTAAAGCGTAAAGCTTCAAGGGCTGTAAAAATTCCGAAACCGTCTATAAGCCTTGGACAAACAGCTCAAGGAATCCTGTGCGTGGATCGTTAGGTAGCGAATCTGCCGGCCAACGCCCTCCTGCGGCGCGCGCCGGATGCAGCTGCGATGAAAACCCGACGCGGAGATCTCCTCCTCAATGGTTTCCAGGTGGACTTCGGGACTTATGCTTTTGGCTTCCTATCACAACGGAACTGACCAGAAAATGACATCCGAAGCCCTGAAGAATAGGCCTTGTCCAATTATGTTACCGAGCAGCCTAAGTAAACCTTCAACTCTAAACCCAAAACCCTAAACCCTAAAACCCTAAAACCCTAAACCCCTAAACCCCAGAACCCCTAAGCCCTACTTTAAAACAACCTACTGAGCAGCCTAGGCTTCGGACCCTATAGATCCCTTAAAGGACCCCCAAAAGGACCCCTTAAAGGACCCCTTAAGAACCCCACTGGACTGAGCAGCCTAGGCTTCCTTATCTCGGGACTCCCGCTGGAGACGGAGGCTGCTCTGCGCTTCTGCCTCGGTCGGTGTCTTGGTGGAGCTCGAGGACTCGAGGGTGTTAGGGGTTAGGGTGTTAGGGTTTGGGGTTTAGAGTTTTAGGGTTTGGGGTTTTAGGGTTTAGGGGCTGTTCGGTCTGTTGGGATGTGTGTTTGGGGTTTAGGGTCTAGGGTTTAGGATTTATCTTAACCCTTATAACAAGGATCCTACTATTTAAGGTACTATATTCCGGTCCCCTATTTTTAAGGATCCCAGTATTTAAGGTACTATTTTAGGGTCCCCTATTTTGGGAAACCTCCGCATGAGAGTTTTCTGGCTCCCCCCCCAGGAGAGGGCGGGAGCAGATCCCGCCTCCTACACAAGACCCCAAGTCCAAGACCACTTGCCCTGGATCTCTCCAAGGGATACCCGAAAGCTGGAAGCTGCTTAGGGTTTAGGGTTTAGGGCTTACCGAAAACTGGAAGCAGTTTAGGGTTTGGGGTTCAGGGTTTACAGAAAACTGGACGCAGTATGGTGGGATGCCTATTTGTGGCGGTGCCTTCGATGTTTCTAGGCTGCCCCCAGTCGAGACTTAGCAGGGATGGGGTTCAGCAAGGGTACAGTGTTCAGCCAACGGATTATATTTAGATAGGGTTTAGGGTTTTGGGTTTAGGCTGTTCGTTATGTTGGGCTTAGGGCTCGGGGTCTGTAGCTTAGAGTCTAGGCTTGAGGGTTTAGGGGTTATGGGCCTAGGGGGTGTGCAGTTTAGGGGTTTGTAGTGTAGGGTGTTAAGGGTAGTCGTCATGGTGGGATTTGAGAAGGGTATTCGTCAGGGCTCAGGGTTTGGGATTTGAAGTTTCGGTTCAAGGGTATTCGTCATGATGGGCTTAGGGTGTGGGGCTTGTGGTTTAGGGTTTAAGGGTATTCGTCATGATGGGATTTGGCTTTGGGGGCTTAGGTGTTGTAGTTAAGGTTTTGAGAAGGACTCTGCCAGATAGTTTTACAGGCACCTCCGTGGGTCCATACGGGGTCTCAGAAGGATACTGTAGGACTGGTTCAGGTACCCGAACCTATGGTGGGAATGGCTACCAGGTGGGCCCCAAAGGTTATGATGTGAGCTTTAGCTTGGAATTGGAACAGAGGTGATGTTTTCGGCAATTCTCTGATCAACCCTAAACCCCATAGCAATTGTGCCAAGGTACACTGGCTCAGCTGGACAGCCTTTTCAGCTGAAGGTACCTTGCTCCTGATTATCAGGCTCTTGGAGCTTTTTCCTTCGAATGAAATCCGACAAGTTGGGACGTTGCAACATCCAGGTCCGTCGGTTTGAGGAACTGCAAACCTATCTCTATGCAGCTCGATTAAGCACCCTATTTCTATGCAATCCTACGCAACCCTAGGAAACTGCCGATCGAGACCCCAAACAAGAAAATCCCCAAAAGACCCTAAGCCTTGTAGACCTTGAATACGGTTGATGATATAAATCCTGCATTACAGGAATATCCCATAATTCCCATAGCTTAGGGTCCTTAAGGTAATGCAGGCTTTATATCATCGACAGTACTAAACCCTACGCCCTACACCTTCCTCATGGAAGGCACCAAAACTGAGGGAAACAGAATGTCAGCCCTCGTAAGAGACCATAAAAAAAAGCACAGGAAATCCCCAAAAACTAACACAATTCTGTGAGCCCTAAACCTTAAACAGGGTTTAGGGTTTAGGTAAATCCCTAAGCATAAAACGCCGATACAGATCCAAACTGAGGAAATGCCCGGCCCACAAGACGTCGCCGAATCGATGGTTCGACTCCTCCTCCAGTTCGATGGCTTGGAATATATGGGAGTTCCAGAAAACTAGGCAGCTATAACAGGGAGTACCATGAAAAGGTTCCACAAACGGATGTATGGGGTTTTATATATCAGAAAGCCAGGAGCCCATAATTGGCGTCCTTTGAAAAGGTGCCGCAAGGGATTTACAGGGTCGTCATATATTGTTATGTACGGTTTAATTGCCGTGCTCAGGGTTATACGGTGCAGGACCTACCTTTATGGGTTCTACGTTGGTGTCCCCTTCTTCTGAAACTCCCACAATGAGATGCCTTAGTTTTCACAAGTTCAATGTGAAGATGACATGCCTGGACCCTTTGTAAGCCCGAAAGCCCCTCTAAGCCTCAACCCTGAGCCCCCCAAACGCTGCAGATCCTAAACCCTAATCCTCAAGCCGTTAAGCTACACCCCAAATCCCTAAACCCTAAACCCTAACCTTAGACCTTATAAGCCCCTAAACCCTAAACCCTACTATCCTTAGACCCTGAGCCCCTAAACCCTAAACCCTATTATCCTTAGACCCTAAGCCCCTAAACCCTAAACCCTTTTATCCTTAGACCTTATAAGCCCCCCAAACCCCTAGACAGGTCTAGAGGAAGGAACCCTCAGTTAGAAACTGTCAGTCTGGGAAAGCGTGTTTGTGGGTCGGAAGACCTCTGCAGTTGATCCCTCCCGGTGGTAGTAGCAGCAGCAGCAGTAGTAGAAGTAGTAGTAGTAGTAGTCGTCGTCGTTCTCGTAGTTGCAGTAGAAGTAGCAGTAGTCGTAGTAGTAGCAGCCGCCTCCGCTGTGCTTGGCTTTCTGCGCTCCCAGCGCCATTCAAAAGACGATTGTGGGCTCCTTGATTTAGAGTTGTTTGCTTTGCGGGTCTTGAGATGTTATAGTTTATATCGAGTTGCTTCATAACGGCGTTCACAATTGCGTTCTATGGTTGCTTATGGTGTTGGTTTCGAAGGGTGTTAGATGGTTCAAGGTCTTTGAGATGTTTGTGGTGCAGGGTTTTAGGGTTTCGAATTTACTTAGGGTGTAGGGCAGTAGAATCAAGACCGTTACATTCCCAGCCTGAACATAGCAAACAAACGACGCCATCAAGATTATCCGATCCCCATGCTCAAACTTCTTCGGCCACAAGCATTGCAAGAACAATGGCGTTGTTCTGATAGCAACCATTTCGTTACACATAAACTAGTAAACATCACCATATCAGCAGCAGCAGCGTCAGCATCATCATTACCACCGTCATAAACAGAACTAACTAACAGTCAGAATCACAGCATGGACAATAGTAGTTACTTAGTAGTTGCAGCAGAAGCAGCAGCAGGAGTAGCAGGAGTCCGAGAGCATCAACTGGTGTGTCAGGATTTTCTCAGGAAAAGTTTCGCATGCGAAGATTCAGGCACACACTCTCTAAAGCCTAACCCTGGAACCCCGAACCCTCAGCGTCTCGAGCCTCAAAAAGTCGGAAACCCGAAACCTTGAACCGGAACCCTTTATGGAGACCCTTCTAGGGAGATGCAATAAAGTCGAAAGCCATACAAATCCTCCCAATTTGTGAGCCCGGGCCCTATAACCCTGAACCCCATAGAGGGTGTAGTAGGGCTTGTGCCTTAACTTAATCATAACGAGAGGGGATGGCTGCATACAGGCGCCGGAGTACTCGGCGTTGAAAGATCGGCGTGAAAGAGCAGGCGTCTGCGGCTCAGAGTTCTGCAGCTGTTCTACAGAGTTTAGGGTGCCTTCTAGGGAGGCTGCGCGCTCCTTGCCTTCGGGTGTATCGTCTCTCCACGTTTTCTTTGGGATTCAGAAGCGTGCTTGCCGGTACAGGCTTTGCGCTTTCCCGGAAGTTCCTCTGTCGCAGGCGGCCGGCCCGAGCTCCCCTCGCGAACGCGAGGTTTTTCGGAGCAATGCCATGGCTGCGGTTTCCGTCACGAACGACCTGCAAGCACCCTTGGAAGTGAAGTTTCAGAGTGAGGAGTGGAGGGTGGTGTATCCCAAGCGGTCCTGCTCTGTGGAAGCTTCGGAGGTCTTGATCCAGGTTCGGCTGCGCGAAAGCCCGGAGGTGACGGGCAGCTGCCAAGCTTCAGGCGGCACGTCCTTTCAAGCTTCGGTGGACTTCGGAGCCTTTTCCCAACGGTGCAAAGGCCGGGACCGTGCCGAGGCCCGGGAGCTGGCCCGTGAAGGAAAACGTCGGGAAGAAGCCCAGCAGCGGACGGATGCTATGATCCAGGAGGCCGCCACCAAGATACGGAATCAAGAAGCCTGGTATGTAGTTCGACGAATCGGAATTGTCTTAGGACTCTCATTAGCCCTCATCATTCTGTGCGTGGCCATCCCACCAGAGAGCGCCGTTGCAGCCGCGCTGCTGGCCAGTGCCACCGTGCCTCTGTGCTGCTGTATCGGTCTTCTGGGCGTTTATGCTGGCAACTAGGCATTGGGATTCTATTCTTATTGGACTTAAGAGAATTCTGATCATGCATGTTTTCTGCTTTAAAAGGGGCCAACCCAGGCAAGGATGAAGACACCGATTTTCGACTTGGAAGGTATAGATTCTGCACGCGCGTTGGCCTTCGGCTAGTGGGGCTCGTGGCTCTTCTGGCCTTCTCCGCCATGACGGCGCAGCACGCCCTGCAGGGATACTGGTGGACCGCCACTATCATTTGGCCTGTGGCCTGTTGTGGGATCCTTTGTTTCTGGGATGGCTACACCCAGCCAATGAGCTTGGGCCATGGGCAGCAGCAAATCAAGGATCAAGAGCGGCAAGCAGCCGAAACCAACGTCAGCAACCGAACCATCCGCTTCGAAGGGTCGGTGCTCACTTGGCCGCGTGGCCGGCCCTGCGTGGCCAGCTGGCCAGGGAAGTACGCAGGAGCCTGGGAGTCACTGGTCTCTCAGAGCCGGGACGGCCAGGTGAGCGCAGCAGTGGTTTTTCTCCCGGAAAAAACGGACGACTATGGCAAGTGCGACAGTATCCCGCAAACTGAGGGCTTGCCCGGCAGCTGCTGGTGCACACCTCTCTATGGGGAGCAGAAGCCTTGGGGCTGCAGGTGGTTTACCAAATGGAAGGAAAACATCGAGGTCGCCGTTGCAAGCGGTGCACAGCTGGAGGTCTATTTCTTCCAAAGCCACGTGGGCCAGGGCAAAGTGGAGAGCTTCGAAGCCGCAGGCGAGGACAACCTGCGGCGAGAGAAGGTGAACCGAAAGCAGAAAGACTTCGAGGAGTCGCCTCAGTTCCAGCAAGCGCTGGACGCAGGCCTCGGCAATCTCTCGAAGGAGCCGCGTGGCGACGGATCCTCCCAGTACAGCCGAGAAGTGCGGCGTTTGTTCCTCGCTTCCCTCCCAGACACAGAACGCGAATTTATTACAGCTGCAGAAGGGCTCGGGAACTCCCAAAAAGCAGAAGTGGCCTGGCTGGAAAAGAAGGGCTACGAGTACTGGGCGGTGGACGTCGCCACCTGGCTCCCCGGAGAAGGAGTCGAGTTTTGCGTCCCAAGTTCTTCGAAGCATCAACAAGCGTGGGCCCAGCAAGCTGACTGCCCCTCAATCTGTGTTCCCATCGATCCGGCTTGCTAGCGATGTGTATTGCGAGCTACTGTGGCTGCGGTCGCCACAATCGCGCAAGAAAAGCATACAGGACGCGGACTACGACCAGATTCATCCACACATGCCGAAGGCTGGTGTGCGCCTCTGACTGACAGGTCTTTCACCCCAGCGGCGTCTTCGAGTTTTAAGATGATGGTGGAGACGGAGCTGCGAACAAGAGATGCATCCGAATGACTTGCTTCTTGTAGCCTCCAGGCCCTAAACCCTCTTAACCCTGAAACCCAAAGCCATGATCCTGAAACCCCAAAACCTAAACCCTAAAACCCAAACCCTAAACCCTAAACTTTTCAGCCCTAAACCCCAAACCCTACTGTTCAAGCCATAAACCCCGAAGTTTGCGGCAAATATGAGCACTGACGGCAGGAATCACAGGGGCCTTGCTTCTTAGAATGAAGTTGACAAGCATTCCTTCGGCCTTCCTTTAACTTTAAATGTCCTACTATTTCCATTATGATTACTCCCAGACATCTCAATACTATTCGTTAGTGGTTCCGAATTACAGCTCCTATGCGACAGACTAAGGTCCCTACACCCTAAACCCTCCCCCCAGACTGCAGACGCCAGACTTCATAGGTCTAGGGGTTTGGGAGTGTTGAGGGGTTTTAGGAGTTCGGGCATCTAGAGGTTGAAGGGTTTGGGGGCTTGGGCAGTTAAGGGTTTGGGAGTTTAAGGGTTAGAG